CATATAATATACGACCTAGATGAATCTTAGACAGCAAGTAACATGATCATAGGAAAAGGTATGTACCATGCCGCCATTCGTACCCTCCATGCCTTGTTGCGCTCGTTGAGGGACGCGTTTGAAAGTACCGTTTTTTGCTTTAAAGTACACTACTGCGGTCCAATAGTTGCCTATAAGTATTTCATCAGCGTTGGGTCAAATCGGAAAAGGCGATGTAACACTGACTTAGGTCTTCGGTAAACTCGCAGGTAGTGCAAGTTGACTGCGCCGCTAGATCGTGACCTTTGGTAGGGTCCATCGTCACGTTGAATGAGTTCTGGTTTTATCAACAATTGTACATATGTCTCGCCGTAGGGGTTTCTTACACCTCCGATTATCTGATGAAGATGTGGCGACGGATTAGCTCCTGGGTTGACCAATGGGTCGAGTCGCTGAACGGTCAACTGTGCGCATCCGAAGCGTAATAGTCCTGCATTTACGCTAGCAAGCAACCCAAAGGCACTGATGATGGGTTGTAGCCTCATGGTGTTTGCACCCTGTTTACTTCTGTGTGTTGGTGCTGGCGATGATCTCTCTGAGTGATATTGTAGCGAATTCCGTACTCCATCTTTCATAGATAGCACAAGCGCAGTGTCTCGATGAGGAAATATCGAAAACTGCCGTCATCTTGAGGGTTGATGTGAAGAGCCGAATGCCAGGGTAATGTAAGCTAATATCGCGCAGCGAATGCGCGCTCGCCTGCCAAGGAGAATTGAACAACGTCTCCGCGTGAGCGAACATGTTCATCAGAAGCCTTCCAATGGAAAGATATTTTTGAAGCATGCATTCCGGGCTTGGTCTGGGATGAAGAGCGAAAGTATGGAAGACTCGGGACTATCCGCCCGACTATCTACAAGTGTGCCATCTGACCACGTCTATGACGATGACCTCTGTGTATTCAAGGTACCATCGGGTGTATGAAGTTACAGAATATAGTACTGTGATCATTCAGCGCAGTCTGCGATCGGATATATGAGTCCGCGCTCCTAGGTATCAGTCAGCTTTACTCGCATCGTCAAGCAGAGCAGATCAATACCATCCATCAACAGCTTTTGCACAGCGAGAGTTTAATCATCACAAACCCATCATGAATTTGATTATCACCGCTTTGATGTCTCTTGTCACCTCAGTTGCCGCCCAAACATATCCAGAGTGCACTGCCGAAGTCGCGCGAAGCGATGATTGCGCCGCTGTCATCAACGCAAACGCGTGCTACAACAAGTTTCGATGGAACGCGCAGACCTTGACATGCATAGATGGAAATGACAATGCAGTGAAGCAAAAGAAGGTAAAATTGAGTACGGTTGGTGACAAAGAATGCGAAGCTAACGAGAGCGGTGTTTGATAGGTGTGTGCTTGTTGCAGCTGTGTTGGAAAAGTTATGTGTGACTGGGCAACGAAACAGAAATACTGCTGAGAAAACCGAGAGCCGACGGACGGATTGTGTATATAGAGACAAATGTTCAACGAACATGTACACTGAACCATATAGTCTACATGGTACTTCGCTTTTTTTGGTTGTCGCATATTTTGCTTTCCTTTTGTTCCTGGGTAATGGCTCTGGAGACCGACAGGTAAAGTGACTTGTACGCAATGCATCGCGGCGCATGATGCAGAAGCATATCTCCGTCAGAGGGTATATCGTCGCCATCGTACTCTTTGACAGCAACGAGCACAGAAGCAGCGTCTACGAGCATCTTGAGCAGTACGACGAGTTCATTCGAGCCCAAGATGTCAATCGAAAGTAACCCGCAAGCCAACGATGGTGGCAAGCGCGGCACCAGTCCCGGTGTAATCGCAGGTACCGTCATCGGTAGTATAGCCGGTGCTCTGGCCATTGTTGGAGCCATCGTATTGGGCTTGAAGAGGGAAAAAAAAAATATGAGAAAGGGCAAATCGGGTGTCAGTGACTCCGAGGATACGCCAGTTTCCGCGCCGGCTGCACCAGTAGCGGTGCAATATGACAACGAGAAGTACAGAACGAGTAATTTACCAGAGTGGGTCGTATGGAAATGAGCAGGGCCCCAATAGCATGTCGGTCGTCGAAATGGTATCAAACACCGTACATCAATAGCTACTTTCAAATTTCTTCGTACAAAACCATGTTGGAAGCATCCTCACCAGATTGTATATCCACCATCCACGATAATCTCGCTGCCCGTAACGTAGCTACTAGCATCACTGACCAGCCAAACTGCCGCACCCCGAAATTCTTCAGGCTTGGCAATTCTCTTCATCGGTATATCCTTCAGCCATTCTTTACTCAATTTCTCCATCTCTTCGCCCTCGTTTGCCTCTGTCTGGATATACCCCGGGCTTAGCGCGTTGACGCGGATACCATGAGGTGCCCATTCAGATGCCAGGGATTTCATGAGATGGGCGGATGCAGCCTTGGAAGCGTTGTATGCTGATTGCTTTTGGGGGCGGTTCACGATAGAACCAGACATAGATGAGACGATCAGGATGCGGCCGTCGACTTGGTTTTCGATCCACCACTTCCCTGCTGTGCGCGAGAAGAGGAAGGTTCCGGTCAGATTGACGTCAATCATGCGCTTGAAGTCCTCGAAAGGGTAGTCTTCTGCTGGTGCGCCGCCAGTGATCCCAGCGTTGGTGACGAGGATGTCGACTGTGCCGAACTCTTGGATGATCTTGTCCCAAGTAGACTTTACACCTTCTTCGGAAGAAGTGTCGCACTCGTAACCATGCACCTTTGGCGGAGGTAGACCCTGAGTCTCAGCCTCCTCGATCAGAGCCTTGGCAGATTTGTCGGCGCCTTCTTGTTTGAGATCCACTATGGCTCCATGAGCGCCTGAGAGGGCGAAAGCGGCGAGGATCTGTTGACCGAGGCCTTGAGAAGCACTATGTAATACTTTAGCTTCGTCTCAGCCGTGCTCTGTAGTCTCTCAAGAGACGGCAAAGACCACTCACCCGGTCACTAAACGAGATTAGCATGGTTTGCAAAGAGACCGTCTCCATATTGCTTACCGACAGCTACCTTGCCTTCAAGCGAGAAGTCGGGCAAAGTCCTGCGCTGCGTGTGAGCGAATCGAAGTGCCGGTTTTGATAGACGCGAGAGCGCCTGTGAGGTTCGTAGGAGAGCATTGCGGGCAACATACGGAGGCATCTTGAACGTTTGCCTATGCTATTTGAGTAACTTAGGAGGCGACTTGAGCGTTTGGAGACTGAGAAGCTGTAAGTTTGCAAGAGATTCTAGGGCTAATGGGTCTGTTTTCATGTCTGTGATATTTACCAGGTACGGTTTTGTGATAGAGGAATTACGTCACTTTTGCGTACGCCGGTGCTCAAGCGAACCACAGTCACCCGACTGTTACCATCCAGTTGATAACGGGACGAGGATATGAAAGAACTTATAGTCAGATGGGAAGGTGTCTAGACAAAATTGGTAAAAACACCAATGCAAGAATGATTTGAGTGCATCATAGTTTTGTTTAGGCCAGGAGGTGGTAGCGGCGGGTATATTTGAAGGATTTGGTTAAGACTGCCTACTGAAACTGCCCTTTACTGATAGTGCTCGGTTATCCTCCAAGGTGGTGATCGTGATGTTCGTATCGGGTATAAATTGTCCTCCAGTTTACATGACGGTGCACCAGCAGGACTCGTCACAACCACAGCAATCGCACGACTCACCGCACTTCGGGGCTGGTGAGGGCTTGATGATAGTCGAGACGGAGGAGGCAACACTGGCAGGCATCGTGATGGTGTTTGTCGGAAAGTAGTGCTATACAGTGTGTTAGTTGCGTAGCTAGCAGCAAGCGTGAAACACCTACCGAAGCAGCTGTTTTGAACTTGGAGAACAAGAACTGAGAGCTCTGGAGTCTGGCGGCGACGGGTGTATGTGTGATGTAATTGTTTCAGATGGGCGATTCAAGGTGCAGTGGAAGATGAAGGGAATTGGTCGCAGACGTCTATGGCTCTTTATATCAACTCCGGTACGAAACAGCAGGGTTGGTCTACTCCCCGAGGTTAATGACTTCAGAGATACGGCTTCCGTCATAGCGCTTTGTTTACCCTTGTCATCCGCCCTCGTTGGTCACACACATTGAGCCCTGACCCTGAGGCATGCATACCGATGTTTCAACGTCTGCCAGTTGTCAGGCATAGGATTGGTCCGGCGGCCTGTGTGCACCGCCTCACCGACATTACTATCTCTTGAGCCAGCCCCGGACGCGAGTCTGGACGGCGTGATAGATGGAAACAGCCGCAGCTGTGGTGGCTCAGCTTGTTCGCGGCCGTTCGTTCCGTCGTTTGATTGGTTTATGAGCAGGGTTCGTCGTAACATGTCTGCATTGAAGCATGCAGACCCTTGCATGATGCATGGGCTGATTGCGTGGCTAAGCTCCACTAAGCTTTGTGGCGCCAACAAATGCCTCACGAAATCAAGGAATAAGCTTCGCCAAGCTGCAACCGAGAAACTTGGCTGTGAATGTGTCGCTGACAGGCTTTGTAGATCTGTTCGCTCGTGCACCTAGACCCTGAGTGTGCCACAAGTGATTTGGCGCATGATGTCGCCCTGCAGTGGCTGCGTAAGCGTTTGACATGGCGTTGAAGGTGGAGGGTTGGCCTCATGTATTGGGATACGAGCTGAACGGCGCTTCTAAACGAGAACGAGGAAAAGGCCTGCGCATCTCACCTGTACATGTGAGCCACGCATTCTCGCGGCACTTTGAGCGGTACTGGTGCGAGCTGGATGTTGCGGGCCGATGTAAGTAGTACAGGGAGGCCTTGAATCATGAATGGACCAGCACCGCGTGTCGGCACACAACGATATAGCTTGCCTTGATAGGGGAATAGATTCGAGATGCTTTTAGCAGAAGGGTCTAAAGTTTCTTCGGTATGGAAGCTATGTGAGGGAAAGCTGAGCGATTGAAGCTCCCGGACGTTCCGGCGAGAACTCCGCGTAACACGAAAGAGCGCCCGATTCCACTAGCTCACCCTTCCCCTCATACGCCAACCATCAAACCTTCCTTGTTCAATCTACACCACTCGAAGCTCTTGCGCCACAGCGCCTGTTGCATCTTTATGTCCAAGCTGTCCGGCGAGCTCTCGACTTTTGTGTCTCCTTCAAAGTAACCCTCTTGTCCTGCAAATTTATCTGATACTGCCACATCAACAAAGGGGATCGCAGCCTGCTCGACTGTCTTCAACCGAGGGTCAAAGTAACTGAGCAACGGCAGCATCCAAGTCACAACTGTAGTCACAATCTGGATAATTCGTGGGACATGTGACTGGTGAAACGCCCGCGAATTGATCAGATCGAGAGGATCAACCGCTATTGCCCTGATGGACTCAGTGTCCCTTTTCTAGATTGACGGTTAACGTGGGTATGTCTGGAGTTATCTTAATGAGGTACTTACGGTCTTGAGACGACGATTGAGTTCGTACATGACCATAATAGGAACCAGCTTGCTCACAGCATATCTCTGGAAACCTCGTCCCATCTCCTCGCCTTCTTCGTCTGCTTTGGGATGAACCAGTAGCTCTAGGTTTTCTGGCAGTCGAGTTGGATATCCCTTGGAGAGACTAGCTTTCTCCGGCCAATGCGCGCCACTTCCTGAAAAGATGATGCGACCATGCACCGGATCCATAGCGCTGAGAAGCTCGCACGAGAGAGAAAAGTGCGCAAGGTGATTTACAGCAATCGACATTTCGTAGCCATCCTTGGAATACTGAGGTCCACCGGCCAGGTTCCAGGTCATCGCGTTACAGATGATCGTGCGGATGAGTGGCAGCTTTTTACTCTCAATCTCAAGAAGCAGCGCCTTGCTGAATATACGGACGTTCTCCAGCGATGAGAGGTCGAGTTGCCGTATAGACACTTGCACATCAGGGTGTTGGTCCACAAGAAGACGAAGTTTTGTTGAGTTCACGTCTTTTTCAGAATCGTCTCGGACGGTGAGAACCAGATTGAAGGATGAGTACGCCTTCAACAAGTACTTGACTGCTGGCAGAGCCAGCGAGCCGTTCGAGCCAGTAATGAGAACTGTGCCTGTCATGGCGCCAGTAGGAAATCGACAATTGAAGAAGATATTTCGGGCGGAGAACGCTTTGCAGAACGGACTACAGAAGCCTCATCTGTTATTGTTATCTACCCATGACGCATGGTTGCTGACAGGCGTATACGCCCGGTCGCATGCCTTAGCGCCAGTCATCCATGTCCAATTCATCAAAATGCATACAGATTTTTGCAAGACAGATTGTGGTTTCCTCTATTAGCATGCAAAGCTCACATATTTTTCCATGTGCATTTCTAATAAGTCTGACCTGTAAAGATCGTTGTTTGGGAATTAACAATGCGTAGTGTTGTAGCGCAAGGGTATCTGTGTTCGGCAGCCGTTCCTCCCCTCAACTCTAGTTTCATGCAGCTTAAGTTTCCGCTATTCTTCTTGTGGTCTTTCCGCAAGGAAACTCGTGATATGCAGCAGTGATCGGAACCTGGATCGATTACCTACTGCCTTTCTGATGCAGTTCCTGACGTCACAGCAAGTGCAGCAATGTGCTTTACCTCGGCTCAAGTATTTTCAAGTGATTCCCTAACGGTTGCACCTGATTGTAGTGTGCCCTAAAGATATGCGGTATGTATTGACTTATTCTCTTACTATTGGCTGTCACCAACTACACCTTAAGGGTATATGTTTGATACACTTGTTTTCTCTCCAGCTTTCTTGCAAGTCGCGGCAGCTGCAATCACCACTAACTAGCTTACCGTGATGGTACTACTTCCACTCGGCAGTAGGGTCCCATTCGCGAAACCTTCCGTACAAAGGATCATGTAATCGTGACCACCAAGTCTCATTCCCGCCTTACTCCATGCATCAAAATGCTTCTGCGTAGTGATAGTACCTCCAACCCTCTTCTCTGTTCTCACTGACCAGAACTGTGTAAAGGTGCGCGTACCTTCGATTGATGGTTTGTTCACGCGCTGACTGGTGTAGAGCTCGTAGGTACCTTCTTCGAAAGTGAAGTTGCCTTTGCGCGTCCAAGGTTCACCGGGTGCAAGGATATCGTACGATTCGATGATGTAGTATTCGATGAGGGGATTGCGCGTCCAACCGTACAGGGCGAGGTAACCGGGTCCTTTGGCATCGTATGTACCTGCGTATTTTACGGTCCTAGCATCGTTTATCAGTATAGTCCTCAAAGTTGCGAGATCTATTTGCCAATCTTACCTCGAACCTCCGGGCTTGAAGCCTGTACCAGCTACGAAGCCACCGCCGGCCTGGCCTGACCAGTTACACGTGTACTTGCCGCCGCCTTGTTGGCTGCAACGGAATGACCCGCCTCCCTCGGACCAGAAAGAGTAGTAACCTCCTTGACGGGCTTCGAGTTGCTTCCCTACAGTTTCGTGATTAATGAGCGATGTGACACCTCTAGGCGCTGCAAAGGCAGTGGGAAGAGAGACTAGCAAAGCAGTTGTGAGGACGGTGAAGGATACCATGATGGCGAATTTGCACTGGGAAATGCTTTACATCGCCCACAATAGGTAGTGTAGTATCCGCAACTTTATATCGCTCTGGCGAGCTAAGATTTGGGGTCCGTCGTCGTCATTTACCGAGCTCTGGGGGAAGCGCGCGTGATTCTTCATTCCTGTGTCTCATTAACCATCGATCCTTGAGAAGCCTTTCGTGTGGGGAGCCCATTGGCAACGGTATCTGTCAACCGCCTATACGCTACCATCAGTAGCCCAGATGCTCTGCCAAGACCGGGGTGCATCCTGTTCAATATGCTTGATACTGCTGCCCCGGCTCTTTACTGCCGTGTAAGGGTGTTGCTTCGGATACAGTCTACACGAAAAGGTCCGAAATGATGATAGAGACCGCTCGTCATTTGCCGGCGGCACTTGTCACGACGGTGTTTATGATGGTCATATTAACCAGCAGTCACCAATTACGGACTGTACGAGTGATAGGCATGTTGCTGTTAATCTACGCGAACACACGGGACATAGCATATGATGATGACGTATCAAGTAAGGCTCATAAAGGTCATGTATGTCGACAAGCTCGACAGAGTCTGATGGGGTTCGTGGGTTGTCGAGGAGTGATCAGAGAAGGAAAGAGCGCGATGCGCGGCATTGAGCCAGGGACATGCGGGAGCAAACTCGTCCGAACTGAGTTTGACGTGTCGCTCGAGCTACTTTCACTAGTGAACACAATGTATCCTCGCATGTACAAACGCTCAGAACTGCTCAAACATCATCTTTCAAAACTAGCCATCAAATGTAGGTAAGGGCAAAGCGCTACGAACAAGCTCCGACTCAAGCCTCCATCTCGTACCCGGGGAGATGATCCAGCCATCCCTCCACATCTTCATCAACGGAGCTTTCAACCGCGCAAGCATTCATCTCTTCAACAGTCTGCGTTTTTAGCACACCTTGCATGCCTGGACTTCCACAGTAATGGAACATGCAGCTGTCGTTCATCACCCGCTGCAAGCTGTCTCCTTTCCATCCAAACACGTAGTCAGCATGAGTGCCGTAGCCTCTACTATCAGAGTAGCTCCATACGAATGGCTGCGAACCATCGGTTGGCCACATATCGGCGAAAGCGGTCGTATTCCACATCGTTTCGTATGCTAGCTGCGGCATCTTGATGGGGTGCGAAGCGGGGCAGGGATCAGCTGGGCGGAAACCACCCAGTGTGGTAGAGAACATATGGGACTGGTGGTCGGGGGCGTCAAGGTCAACTCCATTCCAGCAAGAGGGAAAGTGGCTAAACGAAAAAGACGCGGTTAGTGAGTCTTATGCGAAGAGGAGGGAGTTTCTCTAGGCAAAAATCATGCAACTTCGAAGTGCGCGGCATATCAAGATACTGGATACACTTACTGTCTTGTGGTCAGTAAGCTGATTACAACATCTGCTAAGATCGTCTCTTACCTGAATAGCCATTATACCGGCAGGACATGGCTCTTTCGGGAAGTCAGGAGTCTCGTAGCCTCTAGTGAGGATGGTTTGCAGGCACGTGTATGCCAGACCTTTCTTGGTGCCGTTGATTGTGGTCGTCGACGGATTGCCAACAGTCATACGAAAGCCCTTAGCCCAGTTAGAAATCTGTTTGAAAATAGAACGACTGTGTTCCTTACCGGAGGAAAAGCCCTCACTGGATTCCCGAGGTCGGAACTGTTGAAGTCTTTTTGAGTATAGTATATCGTCATACCTCCCTTGATGTGGTCTGCATTTTGACCTTCATATCCTGGATAAAACAAAATCAGGCTACGCATCGACATGAGTAGAGTCAGCATACCTAGTTGAGCGTTCGGGTAGATGGGCACGCGCTTATACGACCCGTTTTGATGTTTGAAGTACATCGCAGCTGTCCAGTAATTGGAAAAATCTACAGACAAGTCAGGGTTGACGATTGCAACGGTTTGAATGATCATATCCTGCCTTCGGTGTACGCGCATGTCGTACAGCTTCCCTGTTCGCCGATATCACCAGTCATCGTAGCATTGAAAGCATTGCCACCTGCGCAGGCGTTAATGGAGATTTCTAAGATGCAAAAATACATCTAGCTTACCAACGATCTGATGTACCTTCGAGATTCTGTAAGCTTGTCGTCAATTGTATTTAGTAGTACTAACATGAGAGGAAGGTACGCGACCAGGCTCCACAAGTGGATCGAGGCGCTGGATGGAAACGCTGCTACATCCAAAGCGAATCGCTGCTTCTACAAAGACAGCTTGGAGAAGGAAGAGATGGGATTTCATAGTTTCGCGAAGACTTGTGTCCTCTTTGATGATGCAGAATTCTCAATGTTGAGATTGTGAGTGGTAAGAGACCTTGAAGGAACACAAACTATCATGAGGTACACATCGCGTTCCGGGAGAACAGCTGAGGACTCTTCGCTTCAATGTATCCGACGCGCATATGAAGAGGATCCAAAAATGACTGCCGGCTGGTAATGCCAAGTCGTTGATGTTGCTCTTCATATACACCGTTCAGCCGGGTAATGTGGAGGTGGGGCGTGTTCGCGCGGAGCATCGCGATGAACTCTCTAGACCTGTGAGGTGGGTCATCATCATTACGCATCGAAGCCGTATCTCACTTATGTAATTATAGGCCATTGGGCATGATTGACAACAGAAGCCGTAGCAATGACGGCCGGTGACATGGCGTTGAAGTGACAGAACCTCCTGTCGTGGCTAGTGAAAGAAGTAGGGAGGAACTTGAGCTGAGTATTATCATGTCACAGATCTCTAAGCACAGAATTACTCTAACAGGTAAGACAAACGAGCAGGTGATTGTGGGTGCCCAAAGTGACAGTATAATGTCTTCCCAGCAGAATACCACAGATGTACCCGTAGAGAACTACGAACTAGCCAATGGTAAGATCTCAAAAGTGCGTCTCAATACCTGGGGCTGATGATTGAACCATCGGGAAATGATTTTGGGCGCCGAAAGTAAAGCTGTCCGACCTTGCTGTACCGCAAGCACTTTACACTCAGCCTACGTCTCCATCCGCCATGTTCGCGTCTGCCCCCCATACATCCTCTCAAGGTACTCCATCGGTCCCAACACTTGTCTGCATCGACTCTAGTAAGCACGACATCCGAACACTCCGTTCGCAGCCACCATGCACCGATCTCATCTTCGTTCTAAGCGTACCTCTTTGTCTCCTCATGGTCTACACCATACATCAAGGCGGCAATCTGATATACAGCATGTTTCAACGCCACTAGATATTCTGAGCCGTTGACGAAAGTGTGGCCGTCAAAGTGCTTCGAAGGATTATCAAGAGCCACACCGCTGTAGCCGACACCGCCTCAGTGCTAGGGAAGAGCAACGAGTGAGAGCGATGGCATGTAGTCGTGACCTTGGAAGCGACTCGTGAGTTCAAGATGATAGCAGATGATGTCCTAGAAGACAAAGATTACCAGCTAGCGATCGTACAGACCACACAGAATTCAGTTCTGCGCCGACAGCATCCCACTTTGGGCTCTTTGGCAAGAGCCCAAGCTACATTATGTCCCAGTTCAATCTTCGTATCAATAGACAAGAAGTCGCAGACCAAAGATTAAAACCACTCTTTTGCATCTTCCTTGCCTCGCTTCTCTCTCCATACTGGTCCATCAAACCCAACATTCCACTTTTCCGCAATTTCTTTCGATGTTATGTAAGCGGGTTTAGCATATGGCGAACTGAAAACATATGCGCCGTACTTGAGTACCGTGTTCCTAGTTGATGATCCGCGTCTTTGGCATAGTATGTGGTGTCCTTCTGCACGCTGTACTAACGGGAACTCGACCAGACTGTCTGGTGGCCCAGGTAGGAAATTAGGGGTAGCGAAGGTATCACACTGTTGTTCGGGGCGGGCCAGTTCAGGACCTGAGTTGTGTTTGAATGCCACCCGAACATTTGACAAGTGCGGAGCTTCATGTTTGATTGCTCCGATGAGTCTTTCGATACTAGCCCACATCTCAGCACCAGGCACATAGCTCCTTGATAAAGCGTCGATATAAGTGAGAAAAATTGTGATGTTTCGAAGGTTTTTGAAGGCACTAGTCACTCGTTTCGAGAGAACGCCAAGGTCAACATCTTTGTCGGTGCTCACATTTGTGTATATCGAAGGATACACTTCAATCGTCGCCGAGAGACCTTTCATAGGCGCAGATTCGATGTATTCGTGGCATAATCGAGAATGTGCGCGAATGACATTGCTGCAGGGTGCATTGTGAAATCGTACAGGGACTTGGTTGACGATGTGACCCTTGCGACAGTCTTGCCCTTTGCCCCAATCCCACCACAGACTGACCTCATGGTAAAGGTATGTGTATACGTTATTTCGAAGTTCGCGTGGTATAGTGAGGAGATGCGGCGCTAGAGTATCGTTGGCCATTTTTCGAGAGCGAAGGTGGTTCGAAGATTACGATGATATTGACGGCAAGCGATGATGCCGACGAAGAAAAACAAGAGTACACAAACGAGTTGAGAATGACAGGTGGAGGTAGATAAGGATTCGTGTGGTACACGCCGGGGCGTAAAGTAAGCTGCATCGTGAGCCAATCGGAGAATACACTTCGTTGCTTTTGTCGTACACGAAGCGATGAACGCGAATCGGTGTGTACTGGAGTCCCTGTTCAGTTGCGGGTACAGGGATGGTAGGGCAGTTGTGGAGATGTGCTCTGAGGATGGTAGGGCAATTGTGAAGCTGTGCTTTGAGGATGGAAGCAGGCTGCCAAGCGCTCATGTACTTCGAGTCGTCGGATAGCTGGCATGATCGAATTGATGTTCCGGTCATCCAAAAAGAGAGTAATGGTCAGTCCTAACGAGACTCTAGAACCAGGCTACAGCTTCTTCGTGACCGCGCTTTTCTCTCCATTGCTTTATTTGATGCCCGAGGATCGAAGGCGGCAGCGGTGTGTTCCAATTACCAATCGTGTAAGGTTGCAGCTTAAAATGATCAAGAACGTCGGAAGGTTTCCAGAAGTGAGAGTCGTTGTTTGCGCCGCCCCTAATGTACAAATAGCAGCCATGCTTCACGAGACCATGCTGAGGTCGAGGCTGACCAGGCCATGGCTGCACCTGTTCCAGACGGTACCCCTCGGCTCGCTGCACAAGTTGCAACACTTCAAAGCAGGGTGGTGGGGAGGTCAAAAAATAGCCAGCTTCGAATCGTGGATATGTGTTGTTGTGATGCTGCAGTCGAGTAGTGGCACGACACTGGATACCAATCCGCAGTGTCGATAGATGTGGGCCCCTCTGCAGCAGCACGCAAATCAAACGTTCTGTATTAGTCCACCCTTTTTTCACTCCGTCATACTCACCAGGATCTCCAGGAGCAGTTTCAATGAGGATCGTGACATGTTTGACGAATCGGGCAAACAGTGTGTCCAAGGGCAACGTATGGAGTCTTTGGTGTATTGGCGATATTCGTTGACCTGGTAGTGCACCAACAACGAGATCGCTTTGAAGAACATCTTCATCGGAAATTGTCATAGAGATTCCATCCTTTTCGATGGCTTCAAGATACTCTTCTCGCAAGCGAGGATGGGTATGGAGCAAGCTGAGATTGGGCGCGTTATGGACACGGTAATGAAAGCAACATGGAGCGAATAGCCTGGTGAAACGCCATACAGGGTCGTCCTCAGCTTTCACATATGAGTAGATGAGGTTTCGCAATTCGCGAGGGAGTGCAAGAAAAGGTGAGAGTGGAGGCGCAGGGTCGGCCATGGTGAGAACGCGACACTGATGGTAGAAGGAGCAACAACGCGTTCACGATTTTAGCCTGCAGCTGGGCACTAGCCACGCGCAGCGTCATAGCTAGTGGCAAGCGTCATAGTATGCAGCTAAAGAGCGAATGAAAAATGCATAAGAACATTCAATTGTGTTAACCCGTCTTGCGCATAACGGTTCAATTAACCTTCAACTGATTAGACGGTTTTGTGGTGGTTGAAGATGTCACATAATTACTACATACACATAACTATACACTTCCATTAGGTACCTGCACCGCACCGTTCTCTTTCGTTCCCTCCAAAGCCTCACCCCAGATTTGCTTGACAAGCTGTTTCTTATTAATCTTGCCCATCGCGTTCCTTGGGATCGTGTCCACAACCTTCATCTCTTGCGGGATTTTGTAATTTGCGAGTATTTCCTTCAGCGCCCGCCTCATATCCAATGCAGACCACGCTTTGCCACCCTTGCCGGCGGTCTTGCCTTGCTCAGAAAGCACTACTACTGCAGCAACTTTCTGACCCCAAGCCTCTGATGGGAGGCCAACGACGGCAACTTCGTCGACTTGGGGAAGGGATAGCATCTCGCGTTCGATTTCCAAGGCAGAAACCTTCTCGCCACCAGTCTTGATGATGTCCGCTGATTTACGTCCATGGATAAAGTAGAGAGGGCCTTTAGCCCAGGCTTGGTCGCTCTTGCCCGCTCCGCCAACATTCCTCCGGACAGCGACGTCGCCAGTCTTGAACCATTTGCCTTGTCCGTCCGCGTCCTCTGTGAACTCTTTAGACGTGGCTTCAGGGTTCTTCCAGTACTCTCTGAAGATGGTCGGACCGCGCAGTTGAATTTCACCCTGGCGTTCACGTTCTGTCACAGGATCGACTTCTTCACCCACTTGTATAATCTCGCCAGTCTCGGTGTCTACCAAACGCGCTTGCACTGAAGGAAGCGGCCAGCCTACAGAGCCGTCGACGCGATCTGTGAAATCTAGTCCACACGAAAGCGCCATACCTACTTCGGTCATGCCATATCGCTCTAGCAGCACGTTGCCTCCGCTGAGCTCCGTCCATGCAGACTTGACCGGCGTAGGTAGGGCAGCGGACCCTGAGATGTTTAGACGCATGTTGGACGGGTGGAGGGCGGTCTTGGTCGCGGCTTGGAGTTGGGGCGAGAGAGTAGGATGCGATGCGAGCAGGCGCGTATATATGGTTGGGACGACGGTAAGGAAGGTAATGGGCTTCTTGGCTGGATCGGGATTCGGCAGGAAGGGAGCTGCCAGGCGATCCCAGACAGCGGTTGCGTTAAAGGGAAACTGGAACTCGATAGTGCTACCAGCGAAGAGAGGCGTAAGCAGCGCGTTAACGGTGCCGTGGATGTGATGCAAGGGAAGTACATGTAACAGCACGTCCTCTTTGCTGTAGTTCCACGCTTCCAGCAGCGATCGCGACTGAGCCGTCAAGACGTCCTGAGGCAGCAGAACGCCTTTCGGTCTGTTTGTTGTGCCAGACGTGTAGAGCATCATGCCGCCCTTGTCACTTGTGGGTTCCTCGAACGTGACATAGTCGTCGGTCTTGCCCATCATTATCTTCTCCTGCTTGTAGTTGATGGGCTTGGTCTCCATGCCCTCTTTGAGCACATCGTCGGCTTGGCTTTGGAACTTCTCAGACGAGAGAAGCATGAGCGACTCGCTCTGGTCGATGATGTAGCGCAACTCGTGAGCTGGGAAGGTTGGCGATAGCGGTACGGCGATGGCGTGTGCGGCCAGGATGGACAGCAGCGTCACTATGTGCACATTAGCTTCTTCTGCTCCTCGTCGTCGTCGTCGCCGCACAAAAGGCCAGAGGAATGCGCACCTACATAGTCGTATCCGTTTTCCACCAGAAAGGATATCCGTTGGCCCTCTGCGCTCTGCCCACCGCAATTCCGTTGCAGCTTGTCCTTTGCAGCAGCGACATCGTTTACAAGCTCCCCGTACGTGAAGGATCGCCCAGACAAAGAGTGGACTACAGCGGTGCTCTGCGCATCGTGTTTCTTGATGGCTTCGAAGACGGGTAGGCGGGGTAGCGTGGATGCCATTCTCACGGTATACAAGGGAGTGTGTGCGAAAGGTTGGCAGCAATGGCTGGTGTATGTCGACAAGGATATTTTGTGTCGTGTGAGGGTGCGAGCGAAGAGATTACGCGCCCACATCGCGGCAGAGAGATGTCCCGGATCAGCGCAATTGATGCAGGTTTCGAGCCTTCGGAGTACGGCAAATCGGTGGGAGATGTGCTGTGTTCAGGGCCGAGTCATGTTGATGATATCACTTGAATTCCGGCCCGAAGCACCAGAATGGCCTTCTCAAGCGCTGCTTGGAGAATTACACATGCTCTTATAGTCGTCAATCAAGACTCATACACGGTCATCTGGTCGTTGCATGGCTTCAATGGCTGCAATGGCTCGTCTGACCGCGCATCAAACTTTCGGAATCATGACGCGACGCCTTCCGATTTCGCCTTGGCGCGTGCCTCGGCATGAATTCTGGGGCCGACACAACCCAAAACTTCCACCACTACGCTCCAGTATTCTCATTGGTTCTTCTTGACGGACCGCTCGACTAGGAGATACTCTCGTGGATGTTCATTCCAAGTACCGGCCTCGCTGCAAGGCGTTTCATGTCAGCCATGGCTCAGTCCATGACCCCAATGGAAGATGCTCTGCGGACCAAAGTATGTCAGACATCAAATACGCGACACGTCAGTCGAGTGTTCGAAAGTGCTTTCTGACATTCATAAGATTACAGAAGCTTTGAAGCCAACTTCACTCGAGATCTTCAATGACTCACATAAGCATGCGCACCACAAAGCCATGCAAGGAGTCACTAGCAGAGAGACGCACTTCCGGTAATTATAGGTTCACGCTTTTACACCTTGTGAAGCCACGATCCTGACCCGCATAGGGTTTTCATCACCTCACCAGAGTTCAAAGGCAAGATGCAACTTGCACGCCACCGCATGATCAACTCCTTGATGAAGGAAGAACTGGCCAAAGAAGGCGGTATCCATGCGCTGCAACTCATTACTAGGACACCAGAGGAGGAAGAGGCCAGGAAACAGAAGGAAGCAGTCCAGGCATGAGTGCAAATTACTACAGATACCCAAAATGCACGATCATGGAAAGGGTTGGCGAGAAGCGACCGATGCAGCTGCGTGGGGAGACGAGAATACGACGGGGATTTGTATTACCTAGCCGTCACAAATAGAAGCGAGAGTGATATTAGGGACACTGGTGTAGTCTAACCTGATGCCCGCAACGCTCATAGGTCACTTCGTATGGTCGTTCCTACGTAAAGCTTAGCAATCAAATACGATGCCTCAACAGCTCAGCAAAGAAGAAGACACAGATACCAGACCGCTAGTACTAGACTGCCAGTAGAGCATGCTCCAACTCCCTTCCCACTGCACAGCAGTTTCTGAACCTACAAAATAGCGTTGTATCAACGAGGAGGTGATCAAGCTTTTAGAAAGAGCTGTGTTGTATGCCACAAGGAGCGCACTTAGCTACCCGGATTGGCAACTTTCCCGTCGTGATGGACAACAGGCCACACAAAGCGGTGGCGATCATCGTCAGCAGCAAACCGCTAATACAGGCTCCACACTAACAGCAAGGGGATGCATCAGCCCTGAAGTGGCCCAATTGCGTATCGACCGGTCGATGCGATCTAACCAACCGGAGATTCCGGGCCATTGATAATGAGATAGGTCCTAGCTTTCGACCAGATCCTAGCATACTCTGCAGTGTTTAGATGGCATCCTCGGTGATTCTTGTTGAAAAAATTGAGGAAGTGGATGGCAGTATTACCAGAATACAACTGAACGCGAAGGCATAGCACCACTATCACATAACATCCAGAGCAATACATGATGACATTCCTAACTCTAGCATACTTGAGACATGCGCATATCCATAAACACCGACTTCATTTTCATCCGATGCGCTTCACTAGGGTATAAGTAAGAGAAATCCAAATCCACCTCTATTCTTCTTTTCGCAAAACCTTGTCCCGACTTTTAGACTGGAGAGAATCCCAACGAGCAATATGACCACCACACGTTCCCAGTCCTGTAACGTGAGTGCCTGTCGTACATACAAGAAATTCTCATTCATCTTCACCCACTACTTCTTTTGCAATGTTCCCTATTTTGTCGCCTGAATCAAGTATTTTTCGTGCCGCTGTCTGGATAGAAAAGCTTTCGCGTCGCATGTTCTGCACTGTCGACTCGAGTGTATGTGTCCTGGAGCGAAGACGACTGATTTCGGAACGGAGGACATTGATAATCTCTGTCTGCGATGGGATTGGGGTGTTCATGGTATCTGTCGAGTCGACAGACGACGGGACTGAATTGATACCAGGTTGCTGTTCCGTGACTACTGTCGGGGTAGGCTTCGGGGTACCTGCCACCATCGCTTCTTCTAGTAACCGAATCCTTTGTTCTAGCCCTGCCTTCTCCAGCTCCCATATCTTTTTGGCCTCGGCACTTTGTGACTGGAGCCGGTTTGCCATGTCCATGATCCGCACGTATTGTGCTCCATTAGCAACCAACTGCCGCCGAGCCTCGTCCCTACTCTGCTGTAGCTCTTCGATCTGACCTTCGACTGTCAAAATTTGCGCAAGCAGCCTTTCTTTCTCTTCTTTCAGGCTATTTATCTCTATGCCGCTAACTTCAAGCTTCTTCTCGAACGTGGCGCATTTAGTCTTCTGTCTCTCGAGATTCTGGAGCAAAGCGTCGTACTCGCGCTGCAGAGTCTGAAATTCAAACGTCTTGACACTGACCTGATGTTGGAGGTCCTGCAAGTCCGCATTTTGTATCGATGTCTGCGACGTTGTAGGTGGTGACATCGGTGGGAGGCTTTGCGAACTAGGAAATTTAAGTGAAGCCGGAGAAGGTAGAATAATTGAGGACGCAGATTGCGCTACCTGCATCGGGGATTGTGGAGGCGGATGTGTCGGCCCTGAAGACAGCGTGGTGTTTTGTGAAGAGTTCCCCCCGTACGACGTTGTCCGGGGACTACTAAATTCGTCATATCCGTGGGGCGTCGAATGTTGCCTAGATGATGATGATTGTTCTTCATGGCCCTCTAGGTAGTCTCGAGCTCTTCTCATGTTGGAAGCGTTGTAAGGTGGCGACGGTGATCTTGGGTGATGCGACGATCGGTGCTCTATGTGCCTTTGCGGTCGAAAACCACCCTCATGCAATGAGCGAAGCGCCCGTTGCAGTGGCTCTTCACTCCGAGGACGTTCAGTTCCAGGCGGCTATTAGAACATATCAGCTTTGGCCTTGTAGATAGAGGAGGCGGGTGCTAAAACCCAGCGGTAAAAGGAGAGCTAGATAGAACGAACAACTTACTGAAGTGGGTAGGTCATGCTCTATACGCGTCAACTTTCGGACTCTATTGGCCAGCCTTCCCAAGTCCGCGGCAACCTTTTGGGGTGATGAGCACGAGTCTGTACATGCTTGTTCCTGGCAGTCCGGTGAGCAGCAAGTAATTGTCCCTGCTGCATGCGCCAGCTCAGGCCCGTGACCGAGACGCAAGTCCAAACCGCTATGCAGGAGACTGACCCGTTCAGTATCTCGGCAATGAACTGAAGGATCTTCTGTAATCGGCTCAGTTACGAAGACTGTCTTGGAAAGTGAGTATTGGCATTCCCGCACACCAATGAAATGGGAGCATCATGCGCCGGCTGTATGTCGGGCACCGCGCTTCCGCTTAACGCGCCAGATAGGTCAAAGCTAAGGGAGTTGTCATACCTGCGTGACTCGATGGCGGGATTTTCCTATGCCGGTGTTGGAAAACATCGTAGAAAGACCGGGCTCTAGGTTTCAGTATGCCTAGCGACACGACTGCCCGTACGGACGGCAATTGATGCGTACAATTCGAAATTACAAGCTCTGCTAACGTGTTTCCGGACGAAACAGGGCGCGGCAGCAATCTTTGTTGGTCCAGGACGTAATCGCCGTGAGTATAGTGGCCGGCTCGTGGCGGGAGCGGGGATGGGTGCTGATTGATGAAGGCTGTAACATTCGGGCCGGCGCGCTTGGGCTGCACATCAATGGCGTTTCCATCCTCCCAAGGTCGTTTCCTGTTCGTGCGAGAGTCCATAGGTGAAGTTTGACTTCAAAGACCGAGTGCCGACGTTGTTGTCCGCCATTCGGAACCGTGGACTGTTGTATTAGCAGTGTTTTTAATGAGTGCTCGAATCGTGTGTCCTAGAGGACATACTCAGCGGCCAGAGAAAGCGACAGACGTAATACGAACTGGCGCTGGGTACCATTCGTGAGCTTGATCACTTTGAAATCTGCCGTGATTTCAAGATCTTGCTTCCAGTGGTTCGGCTTCTGAGACAAAAAACGGGTGGACAAGCAGGCGTAATGCCCACGAAGTATCCGGTGGCTCTTTGAAAAGAGGCGTATTAAAGAGGCCGAAGGTCAGCAATGTAGTATGTCAATGCATACGAAATACTCCGTCGGTAGTACCAACAGTCAGTCAGCGCCATTGCTACATTGACGCCTCTTCGTGCTTGATGGTCATGCCAAGTGAAAGCCAAGTTGCAAGCTAAGGAACCAACAGGAAGACGTACTATCAATGCTCTGGTAACGTCAGGCGCGGGTTGATGCAGTACTTCGATGGCGGCGTCGGAGCCGAAATGCCGATCCGTGGACGGGAAGCCAGGGACCTTCGCGAAGAATTGGCATGGGCGACTTACAGCCAGCAACAGGGGAATCATGTGGGAGGATGGAGGCTGAGTAAGACGGATAGTTGATTATTGGTAATAGTGAGCGGAACTCATCCGAGATTAGCGTGGTCAGTCAGCACAGACCGTGTGAAGCTCTCTGTCACACCATCTGCGGAAGCTAGACTGGACATATCTCATGTCGTGTGATCGTCATGCGCTTGCAGTTCCACAGGGCAACTTATTGGAATTTAGAAAGTAGAAAAGGCCGACGTGAATGAAGACTTGAGCAGAGGCTATAGAGAACCTCGTATCATACTAATGAAGAGGCCGGTTGCGGAAAAGTCGTAGTGTTCAGACCAAAGTAGAGTCCTCGGAGCATATGTCGATGTGTACTGCTATACGCAACCCATATTGACGTACACAGTAAGTCTAGCTCACCCAGACAGGAATCCAACAATCTTTTGTCGCTGCGTCAACGCCAAGTGCTGTGCTTCCAAGTCTGCTCTGGCAACTTTCTTGTTTCACATCCGCCAAGCAGCATTCTGTCCATCAGCATCCACCCACTGTGTCGCGACATCCTGCGCAATCACTCGAAGCCGATTCTCGACCCAGTCTTTCTCCCTTGACACCACTTCAGTCTCAATTTTTTGCATTATTTGCAACTCATCCAAGACCCCGTGTAGGATTGATGTGCATGCTTCGATTATGCATGCTATGCTTGATCCGGGTGTTGGTGAAGCTAGTCTGTTCAGGTCAGGGGCGAGGGCAGTCAATTTTCGAGATAGCGTGGCGTTTTCGGCTTTCCACGCATCCCCAAGACCTTCAATTGTACCAAACGCCGTCTTGGCTCTACCATGGTCTTGTCGAGCGGACCGAACATCCTGGACCCAAAGAAGCCAGTGTTCGAATTCACCCACTAGACGTTGCAGTCGACCACCGGATTCGACCAATGACGGCAGTTCGTGAAGAGGCTCCGAGAGAATCTGTATGTGCTCAACAATTCCTAGAGATGAGCCGCCAGCACTCCACTCTAACAAAGACTGAAGATTCTTCTGCTCCTGTGCTGCACGTTCATTCTCTAACATGACTCCATATAAGCTAGCCACCTCTTCAAACTTTGTGTGCAAGCTACGCTTCGCGCTGATCTCCCAGCGTCTGCACACCTGCACCGACGATTCGTGCAGGAGGTGAAGTTGAAGTAGCTCTGATTGAAGACTGACTGTCTCTGGTGAAAGCGAGTACGATGGCGCTTGGGGCGCAGGGTTGATAAAAGTGGCAGTTGGGGCCTTCCCTACCTTTCGCGGTGTAAAGTGCTGTTGAAGCGTGCTGAAAGCTGGTCGATTAGTCTTCTTCGGCTCTTCTGGCCCAGCTTCTTTACGTCTCGACTGTGTTGCAAGAGGCTCTTCCGCCCTGGGCGTAGGACCGCTACTTGGTAGACTACTTGATGTTGCTGGTTTGGTCCGAGTACTGGCAGTGCGACTAATACCGGTGCTACGTATCGATATCCTGGTGGCACCAGGGAGCGCATCTGAGGTTGTGCTGTTGGTCTTGGTGGTACGACTTGGTGCTATCTGTAGCGACTTTGGTCGTTCGGAAACTGTGTTTGACCTAGCAGCATTCTGTCGTGGAGCTGATATGGTACTCGTCGATTGCGTCCGAGAATGACCGGAAAGACCTGATGGATGAGCTGGTTGTGATGTAGCAGCTGGTTTTCGCAAAGATTGCGATCGGCTCAGTCCTGCCTGTGGCCCCGCAAGCTTGCTTATTGAAGTTGGGGGTCGCATAGAACGAGCAGCACTCGTTTTTTCCGTATTTTCGGTGCGCTGAGATGATGGAGTGCCAGTTTGATACATTGATCGGGGTCGAAGACGTCCCGGTACTGCAATAGGGGCCTGGATTTCTTGTGTTGTTGATGCAGCTTCGGGTTGATCTTGCGCCTCATGTAAGTTGTCTCCTGTATCTTCAGAGCCAGCATCTTGATCAGACACTTCTGGGAGTATACTTGACCGAGTGTTGTATCTATGTTGACCAGGTTGGGGACTGGGTTGGGAGATGGTTAGTGAAGCCGGAAACATCGTGTGCCTAGGGTCACCCACAGTAAGCTACGACGAGTCTCCGTGTCACCTTGGAACGACGGTAATTTACTCGGTGAAGGACGCACGATACTACTCGTGCCCTGTCTTGCTGCTTGTTGATCGTTCTCAGCTGGAGTGACAGATGCAGCGGTCTACCTTCTGTTAGACGTTGCCTGCAACAGTATGGAGGCTAGGCTTACCCGGGTTCGTGCCGGCGCATGGCCGATCCTACCTATCTGCGAGCGTGGCTTTGCGTTCATCTTTGATGCAGGTCGCGGCTCGATTGTAGACGCGCGTTGGTAGCTTGGTTTGGTGTTGTTAGGTATGCACAAACACACAAAACATCGGGTGTTTACTTCCCGCCATGAGCGCGGACCATTGCGCTAACACCACATATGGCTAGAACCCTGACATATGGCAAGAGCAAGTCTGGCACAATATGGAAAGAGGAATGTCGTCAGAGTTCGTTATCTAGTGTATCTAAGCTGAGTGAGTGACCCAATGCATACTTGGAGAAATGGCTTTGTAATTCCATTCAACACGAAAGCGCAAATGATCGAAGGGCAGAATTGCTACTCTCTCCAATGTCCTCACAAGCTACCGCGGCGCGCTGGGAAAGAAACACCCTCGATAGCAGCATAGTCGACAAACCAGCTAACTCGGTCTCCACCCTTGTGGTTCACCAGACCGCATGGTAGTTGTTGACCCTCGTCGGTATCGAAAATTTGACGCATGATGTCCTTCTTTCCTCCGCCAGTTGCAACAAAGCCAATCTTAAGTCCGTGTTGCGCGACAGGAAGGGAGATGGTAATGCGCTTCGGGGGTGGCTTGGGAGAGTCGGAGATGGAAAGTACCCACGCCTCGGATTCGCGCAGGAGATCAGAGCCGGGAAACAGACTGCACGTGTGCCCGTCCGGTCCGCAGCCAAGCAGGAGCAGGTCGAATAGTGGCAGCTTTACGCTATCGCGCGCAGCGAAGACACTGACGAGCGTCTTTTCGTACTGGTCCGCCAGCTCTTGTACGTCATCGAGGTACTTGACGTCGATTGGGTACACCTTGGGCGTTCCCAACTCAGACGGTATCTTGTCGAGAAGCTCCTCCTTGACCAGCCTGTGGTTGCTGTCCTCATGATCGAGGGGCACGGCGCGCTCGTCGGCGTAGAAGATCTCCCACTTGTCGAATTGTACCTTTCCCTCGCCATTGGTTTCCTTGAGAAGCGCTTGCGCAAGCGTCTTGGGCAGGGAGCCGCCGGAGACGGCAACACGGAAAACTTGGTGGCGCTCGAGCGCAGCGTTTTGGGCGTCGAGAACGTAGGTGCGCAGGCTCGGGGCGAGCTCAGCAGCGCTTTGAAAAGCGTATAGGTTCGGAGGCTTGCCCATGGTGTTGATGTGTGTACTTGGTAGGTGTGGTGAAGATTGTAGGAGCGCGATGGAGGGGTTCGGAGAGGTGGGGCTCCCTAGCGATGTGCCGCTGTTTCGTTCGACAGCGGGCCGGTGACGATTGCCACGATAGTGACGTGAGCAGCTTTTGCGCGACGGTGCGACCTTTGTAAAAAATTGCGCAGGACGAAATGAACAGATGGCGGCTAAGGCTGCCTATGGGATCATTCTCATGGGCGATCGGGCCTCGATACCGCGTCCATTTTGAGCCAACCGTGCAGCTCCAACGCAGATGTCACCTTGCTCGTCTGGCCTGGAGTCTGCGCCATGCTGAGGAATGGTGCATGGCATCAGGACATGGTATCAGAGGGTTATCGACGAAGAAAAGGAACGATATCCACAGTAGTTATGTGTTCACGCACATTCAGCCTGCGTGCACTGCACATGACCGTCGCTATCAAAGTGACCAATGACGTTGTCTGGACGGCAACAGAACCATAAGTGCTGATCCAGATGTGGATAAATCACCCGCGTATGTATCAGCTGCGCGCCTATCTCGAGACAAGAAGTTTACCATCTTGACGTCGCATTCAACCTTCGTTGAGCCAGCTGCAATCGTGGAATTGACTGTTCTAGTAACTGCTAAATCGATTTTGCATTTCTCCATATTCTAGGCCTGCAATCGGATCTTGTAGGACAAACCTATGGATGCCAAAAAGCTGATCTTTCCTAGGTAGATCTAGCAAAGCACCTGGAGGTGTTCGCGCTATTTCGTGTCAAGAGCGCTATTGGACGCTGTAGGATATGCTTCAGAGCACAGTTTAGCATAGCCGAACTCCTTCTTAAGGTTATTTTGGCCACTTGCTTCGAATTGTTATAGTACTACTAAGCCAATGCGACTTGCAGGAGCTATGCCTGATTTCTCGTACGAGTATGTCTTGGAATCGAACACGATCGATCTGAGCAGGTTTTCAATTCTGGGTCCCATATCAAGTTGATCACTAGTACACGCGCGGCGTCATGGCTACGACCGATGTTTTCTGCGCAAACCCGCAAATCACTCGGTATTTCATTCCCAGAGAACCTTTCTTATGCGCTTGAAAGACGCCATTTGTCACGTTACGGTACTGACGGGTGTGTCTGGCTTCGAAGCTCAGTGTCCGTCGCGCAGCGTCGAGCGAGCAGGGCCACGAGAATGTGTTGCTTTTTCCTTCCATGTGTTGAAAAATCGGTTCTCTTTGTCGGCGATGGTAGCCTGGCCCTGATCATATACGTGGCCCTGCTTTATGCGGTACACGTCGGTAACTCCGTTGCCCGAGGCTTTGCTGCTGCCTGAATGGAGGCCCGGAACGCACACTGGCCAGGCAGCTCAGCTGACTATACCGACGGTGGAGCTCCGGGTTGTGTAACTGGCTGGTTCTCTACAGAACCATAGTATTAGCGGACTAGACAAAGTTCAGAAGAACCACGTTTCTTTTGCACGATAAACCCTCACCAAACCCGGCCGCCCCAATCTTTAAAGAAGAAAAGGTCCATCAGAATCTTCGACTCTTTGGCCCACAATTGGGGTGGCGATTATCTAGTCACCGGGTGCAACGTGGTCGCGGCCTGGACTCCTTGGGTGTCGTTCAGCTACGGCCATTTGGTTCTAGACCGCCCCCCGGCGGGATCTTGTGTGCACAACGGTGTAATGCAGGGCTGGTGCGTTGTGTAAGATGCAGCGAATCCGGCTTTTGTCTTCGCAATGTTTACCGAGAGCGTTTGCTGTTACCTGGGTCGGAAGATGGTAGCACATCTATGCAGGTCCACGACTGTATGCTGGCGCTGGGGATGATGGAACTCTCCGGAACGCAACGTAAGCGCTTGTTGGACGGAGTCAGCGGCGCCGCACTGTGATTGTAGACTTTTGAAACGGGAGTGTATCTCTCCGGCGATTCTCGTGTGACGAGCACATTGTTTGCGTTGTTGTGCATCGTCGTGCGTCGTCGTCGTTTGCGAAAAGGTAGATTAGCCTGGCAAGAGGGTGCTGTAGTCGAGACGAGAACAGAAGAGTTTATTAGTAGAATTTGCAACAGCAGCGTTTCATTGTCGTGGCTGCAGGGCTCTGGAAGTCAGTATCAAAGGTTACAGGGTCCTATGAAGTTGGCGCGGTGGTTCCCCCAGGTTAATGGGGGGTTCATGGCCTTGATCTAGACCGCCAGCCCAACGGTTCGGCCCGCTTGACATCGACGATGGGCAGCAACAGGCTGCGAGGATTGCGGTTGCAAAGTCCGCGGTCAAGAGCTACTTTCAACGGATTATTGCAGAAACTGCCGCATTGGGGTGGTTGTTGGATGAGGGGCGTGAAGGGATCGTGATGGATAGGTAACGAAGCCGGTGCTCGGCAGCCGGATGATGATGCATGCAAGGCAGGAGGCCGCGAGCTCCGGGGAGGCTGGCGGGTGGACACGTGACACGACACAGTCACAAACAGTGATTGCAGCGGAAAGAGAGGCTGTGCAGGGCAGGAGCTGTTGCTAGGCGACACGCACACAGTCAGCGCCGGTGGCGACGCGTGCGAGGCTCGGCAGACAGTAGGCACCTCCTGTGAGCTCAAGCAACGGCAAAGGCAAGTGCAAGAGGTAAAAATGCCATGTTGCAGCTATGCGGTTTCATCGAGCGATGAGAATGTTAACTATCAGTGTCATCTCGATGGGTGCCGGTCGCTATGCTGTGGGCGGGCAGGATTGGCTCGTGTGCGGGGGGGCAAGGGCAGCCACGATCGGGACCCAGTGGCCGATCGCAAACTGACTGTCTCAGCTCGGGCAAGGCCTGCAAAGCCTTCGGACCCAGCGTCTTGGGTGATTGAACTCACGTCCACGGCCCAAGCCATGCGCCAATCAGCCCGGCGCACTGCCCCGCCCAGCAAAGGGCCTGCAACTGGCCGATCTTGCATCGCTCGATGGCCGTACGAGCATATAGGCGACGGCGATTCCACATACCCAGCAGTGATTCAGACACCCGGTCATCCTACTCAAAGTCACCTACAAGCCCTATCATGAGCGCAGATCACCTAACACCCGAATCTCTCCCCACTGCTCCTTCCTGCTACTTCAGCATCCTGCCGGCCGTCCACTTCTCTCTCGAGACTCCCTCTCACAGCCCCATCTCCGACTACCAACCCTACACTCCCTCGGACCCCACCCATCCGCTGCTGGCCTTCCGCCCAGCACCACCTCTCTACATGACGAGCCCTTCAGACGCATCGCGTCTGCTGCAGCTGCAAACCCAGGCCGCCCACCGCCCGGCCCCTGAGCCCATCCAGCAACAGCGCACCTCGAGCACCTCGTCTTCCAGCTCAAACAGCTCCACCTCCAGCATGGGTCTTGGCTCCCCCTCAACTCTCTCCTGCTGCCGCTGTCGCCGCGAGTGCCTGGCGAACATGTACCAGATCGGCACCAATCGCTACTACTGCAGCCACTGCGCACGGATGACCGGCTACAGCGCTGGCTGAAACCCACCACCCAGCCTCCTATCTACTCTCTCTACACTATTATTGCCTAGCCAATAACCGCGACTACCGACAACCACTCCCGTCGCCCAAACCATTACACGCATACATAGACATCCGCTGTCACCCCTCGCCTCTATCGCCGTTTTGCTTTCACGCCGCGGCCGGGAGCTCCACAGGAGCCACGGGGAAATGTACCTGCAAGATTGCCCTTTGGCACATCTCGCTGAAGACGCCCATGGGCGCACTGTTCGCCTTGTCCGAATTGCCGACGTCTCGAGGACATCGGCCAACAACTGGCATAGTCAATCGCACTATGAGGAGGTAATCATGAAGCTGGCCTTTAGGTTACCACGCTGCAACAGCTGGCCTGGACGGCGATTTGAGCATA